CCTTTTTGGACCGCACGCCAGGCCCGGGCATCGGACGACGTGCCGGGAACTTGTGGGTTTCGCAAGGGAGGGAATTTTGTATAGACTTTGCTATCGTCCTCTTGGTCAGCAACACCCTTGTTCTGCAGGGGTCGCTGGCTTCGTAGTGAGCCTCTTTGAGTGGGTAGCATGCCCAAATAGCACACAAGTCTACGCCACGAGGCCGGCGGCTCAAACTGGGGGATCAAACCCCAGACCCAGGCAGGGCGAACCAAGACACACGCCAGTGAAAAGCACAACGCGATCTCTGACGGCTCGGCCGGCAGTCCAGAAGTTGAGCAAATCCACCTGGGTATGGGTCAAAATTAAACCACCAGGGAATTACAGGTTTTATTCACTGTTTCCATTTACCAGGGTGCCATTTTGGGTACCTATTTTTGACCCACATTCACCTGGAGGATGAAGGCAACACCGCGACTCACCGCTGTTTGGCTCAAGGCTTTGTACAGTGCTCCAGGCGTCGCCGAGATCTCACGCTTCGGAAGTTCTTGCCACATGTTGGAAAGGGCCCTTGCGACTCGGCCGGCACGCCCGTTTGGGCCCTCTGGTTGGGGGGGGGGGAGGGATGGAGGCAGCCGCCCCTGCACCTCATGAACGTGTTTGAGAGGTTTACTCTTCCGCCCCCAAACATGGCGTGCCTGGAAGTCCATTTTCCCCTAAAAAGAACGCTTTTTTTTTTTCTGAGTGGCAAGCTCTGACCCGCACCATGAGTCATGAGCCGAAAATCGTATAGAGCTAGCTATGTTTGAGGGCTTGGAACCCGTCTAGTTGAGGCCAATTGAGCGGGCCAAAACCCCAATCGGTAATGTTCCAGTAGGTGTTTCATAAGCAGGGAAATAAATTAGCCTCCGGAGTCAAAAAGGGAAACCACATTAAAGAGTCAAGGGAATTTGGCGCCGCGAGGGAGTTCTTGCAGCTGGTCGTGGCCGTGTTTGTTTCTTTGTGGAGAGGCCGGTTTGCAGAAATCAACTTGGCCGTGTTGAGGAGTGTGAGAGCCTTGGATCAGCTTTGTTGGCTTAGGTATGTTGCTCTTATGACTGTTCGTATGCGTGTTGCAAGCATGAACGCGGGTCACCGTTGAACTTTGATGGGCCGAGCGTGCCCGAAGTGTTAGATGTTGAGTTTGCTAGTATGTCATAGCCCTGTGAAGCACGATTTGGACTAGGCCTGGCAGGCTTACTCGCCAGAGAAATGACATGTCGATAGCCAATGTACAAAAAATACATGTTTCCTGCAGGCAACTCCATTCCATTGAACATGCACCTGTAGGCCCTCAAGTTTTTGCAGGGTCTTGTGTGTCTAGTGTTTTGATTTTCACGTTTTCTGTGCAAGGATATAGCTGCCACCTTGCTTGAACAGCTGCGGGTGCCATCAGAGGTGAATAGGCGGGGCAGGGGGGACGGTGTGCACCACCAATTAGAGCCTGAACAGTTTGAGAGTGTTTTTTGGGGTTCATGTTTGCTGCTCAACGTTCAAGGCTTGTTGTCGATCTGCGGTTGTCATGGGGTCGAGCATTCTTGCATAAAGCTACGAAAGAGGCCGTTTGATCGCCAGGCCACTTGTTTTTAAGAAGCTTCAAATTATTGGTTGCACGTCGTGCTGAGTTTGTTTGACCTGGGCCAAGGAGCTTGCACGCATTTGCCCGGCGTTGCCAATTGCCAGCCAGTCGTGCCAACAAAACAGCTAGTATCTAGCTCGAGTGTTCTGGACGGAGGAGCAGGCTTGCTGCGCTTGATCCTTGCCTCAGAATGTTTCCCGATGGCGCCCTGTACAAGTGCGGGCAACTGCCAGCCATTTCCAGAAATGTAATCTCTGCCAAGTGCTTTGCCGAACCTCAGCGTCAGCGCACTTTGGTACATGAACATGTGTCGTCATTCAGGCACTTACCCGAACATACATCTCTGATACAAGGGAACCCTGTTTTCGCCTGCGTACATTGCACATTGGCATTGGGTCTACTTCGGAGCTTTCTGCTCAGAAGTGACGCACTTCCCCTTCCTCCAACTAACCTCGCACCTGGAAAAGGTACCTCGAAGATGAGCTTCCTTTTGAGTGGACCCCTGTCAGTTGCCATGCTAGTGGGACGGTCAGATCCGGTCAGGTGGGCACCTGCGGAGAAGGTGCCAGGGCTCTTCCAACAGGCGAGCGGTGGGTGTGCAACAAGTCTCAGTTCGCTTGTCAAGTCACTGGTTCCTTACCAACACGATCAAAAACACTTTTTGTTTCTTCTTTTGTTTCTTCTTTTTTCCCGGAGGTGGTCAACGACCAACCCAGAAATGTAGAAGCTTCTCACTAGACTGGTTCTCTTCTCATCTGACCTTTGGGTTTGGCCCGTGGCCAGGGTGAAAATGCCCAGGGAGACAAAACCGATTTCTTTCTCAGATGTCCCGTTGGGCCACGTGCGTGGGGGCGGCGAGATCCACGTATGGAAATGCGAACCTCGCTTGGGTTAGGGCTTTGCCAAGCTGATGCGTTGCAGCTGTCCTAGAGCATCATGTCCAGCATTCCAACCGCTGTGTGGCCGTTTGCTTACCCCTTTGCGCAGTGCATGCTTGCTTCAGGGAATGGCGGCGTTGCTTTGCTTTCCGCTTCAAACCACAGATGCACCACATGCGTTTTTTTCCACTGGGGCCTGACAGCAGCACCATTTTGCGCCCTCAAACACGGTTTCCAGGGCCAGGGCCCAAGCTTGCAGTCCGTAGTCTGTGCTGGATGATGTTCCCCACCAATGTGTTGGATCATGTCCCCATCTTGGCTGAAGCTTGGGATCTTCGTAAACGATCCTTCCGTGATCGGAAAGTCCGAGACTATTGGTAGCGCCTCGCTTCACCTTGCTCCCACAGGTCCCCAGTCCGTTCCCCAGGCATCATGCGAGGCGTCGCCGATGCCGGAGCAACCGAGGCGCGGCTGATTGCATTGCGAGGAAGGCGTGGAGAGGCAACGGAAAAGGTCCAGGCGCGTTGCTTGCCTTAAGCCTCGGGGAAAGGTGGAATGCCTAGTTCTTGCCATGCCGTATTTATTAATTATCAACCAACGTTAACATGCATGCACGTCGTAAGTAGGTGGCTACCGGTGTTTTGGGGGGTTTCCCCATTGGGCGGACGCAAGACGAGTCGCCGATGCTGACGACCGTTTGGGTAGAGCATCAACTCATTCCAAATGGTGTTTGAAGCAAAATGTGCAGACTGCATTCAGGCTTTGGTTGAGCTGTAAAAGGACAGTGGGCGGGTGATTTGGCCATTCTAGCTAAATTGCCAACCTGTGTTGTCAATTCTGTCTGTGAGCTGGTCTTCATGAATGTGTTTTGTTTGGCACGGGGTCTTGCACGAAGCATAGGGTTGGGCAGGCCTCCGCCATGGGTTGACGAATCTACAACATTTGGGAGATACCATCAGCTAGGGCGTTACAAGAATTAATCGTTGCTTCAGTGCCCAATTGAATTGCCTACACCAAGCCAACCTAGTGAATTTGGCAACATGTGCGCAGCTTGCCTGTAGGGCTGGCAGTCTTTAAATAACGAAGGTCCAGCAAACTCAACTTGTTGGAGCTTTTGGAAGCTACTTTCGACTTTGATTGTTCATGTCAATTGGTGCGGGACATTTGTTCACACCACTCGGCAAGCCATAGGACAGGCAAGCTCAGTTTGTGTTTCTTAGCGCAGGCCTGTGACCGTTGTCACCTTCTACACGGAGGGCCCGCCTTGGGACAACTGCTTGCCATTGACCCATGTGGTGGAGGAGTTGCGGGAGATCCTAGCGCGCAGCAGCCTGGTTGCTATGATTCGCACTAGGTGATCTGATTGTGTGAGCCCCTGGCCATTTTGCGCACGGAATTTGCTCATGATTGGTGACCGGTGGGGGGTTTGCCCATGAAAAAAAGGGCTTACACTAGAGGGTCGTACATTCACGGATGCACATGTACCCGCTGAATGTAGTTGATCCTGAAATCAGTGCATGCATTGATATCTCCGGTGTCGTTGTGTCCTGACAGGGTTTCTACGGTGCTTCTCGCTGCTTAAGGAGGTTGCTACTCCTAGATGGTGGTAATTAAAGAGGGAATATATAGGCCTAGTCTGCTGCATCCTATCATTGAAGCCGGAAAGCCATCATGGTTGGAGGAATCTCCCTTTCAAGACCCCTTTCAAGACCCCCTGTTGGCGTCCATGTCAGTTTGCAGGGGGATAACCGACTGAGGATTCTGAGGATGGACAACATCCCGCACGAGTCGGTAGGCGGTCCATCCCAGTTTTCATGGGGATCATCCCTACTGGTGCAGGAGTTTCCGAGAAGAACCATCCAACTGGCGGTTTCTGTTAAGGGGATCCCTTTCCGGTTCATTCCCAACACCCGGAAGGTCATTCCCCACCCATCGCAGCAGCAAGTTTAGCAACTGAAAGTTTTCCGTGTGGGGCTCACAGGTGATGTACGCTTGCTGGCGTACACCCCTCGCAGTCTCCAAGAGGACGACTTTTACCAGAGCCTTGGCCGCTGAGGGGCTTCGATAGGGGCACCTTTTTGAGTCATCATTGCAACTCGGGGGTTCCCTGCCATCCGGTTCCTTAGTTTTTTAGTAGATGTTCGTGGTTTAGTGGTTGGGTGTCCATTCAACCCACTAAAGGTTAAACTTTTATCAGGGGACCTGAGGACAGCTATTATATATACACATAAGTTTGTGTTGGGCATGGATGTTTGTTTCTTGTGGATCTAGACGTTGAGACCTGGATTAGTGGGTGTTTCTTTGGGCGTGTTTTATCAGGCTGCATGGTGGGAATTCCGTGCATTAATCAGCGGTGATTGGCGTGCCGTGCGCCGTGCGTGCGCACATGCGCACGGTTAGGGTTCGAAACAATCCAGGAAAAGAGCTTCTAAACCCTAAACCCTTAAGATTTCATTTTGAGATCAGCGCCCTTAGAATCCTTCACTCAAGCCCAAGTGCTGCAGTTGAATCTCAGGAGGCATTGCATGCGAGAGCAGGCAGGAGAAGCCGAGCCCTATATGGAGCTGCTCCCCCATGCGCACAAGCTAGGGTACTACGCCACCTTGGCAAGAAAGGTGTGTGCTTGTGTGGCTCAGTTAGCCAAAAACGGCCTTTTAACCATTTGATTTCCTGTTCTGGTCCACGTTTTGTCAAGCTTGCAAAAGGCTAACCTGTTGTTTCCAGCTGCTTTGGGCAACTGACGTCCGTGTTGGTGCGTGTGCGTGTGTGCACCTGCACACGCGAGTGTGTGTGTGTGTGTGTGCGTGTGCGTGTGCGTGAGCGTGTGCGTGTGCGAGTGCGTGTTTGTATTTGTGTGTATTTGTGCGTGTGTGTGTGTGTTTATTTGTGTGTATATTTGTGTGTGTATTTGTATTTGTGTGCTTCTTTTTCTGTCAGTGTTTTTTTGTGTGTGTGTTTTTGCGCGCGTGTGTGTGTGTGTGTGTGTGTTTGCGTGTCTGTGTGTGTGTGTGTGCGTGTGTGTGTGTGTGTGTGTTATTCGTGTGTGGTGCTTTGTATATGTGTGTGTGTGTGTTTGTTTGTTTGCATGCTTTGTGTGTGTGTGTGTGTCTGTGTTGTGCTTGCGGTTGTGGTTGCTCGTGTCTGTCTTGTTTGCGTTTGTGTGTGTGTGTGTTTGCGTGTTGCTGTGGTTGTGCTTGTGCTTGTGTTTGTGTTGTGCTTTTGTGTGTTGGTGTTGTGCTTTTGTGTGTTTGTGTGTGTGGTTGTGCGTGTGTGTTTGTTTGTTTGTGTGTACTTTGTGTTTGTGTGTGTGTGTGGTTGTGTGTGTGTTGTGTGTTTGTGCGTGTGTCTGTTTGTTTGTTTGTTTGATTGTTTGTTTGTTTGTTTGTTTGTGTGTGTGTGTTTTAGTGTTTCTGGGTTTGTGTGTGTGTTTGCGTGTTTGCGCTGTTTGTTTTTGTTTGTGTTTGTGTTTGTGGTGCGCTTGCATTTGTGTTTGTGGTTGCGTATGTGTTTGTGTGTTTGTGTTTGCTTTGTGTGAGTGTGTGTGTGTGTTTATGTGTTTGTGTGTTTGCGTCTTTGTGCGAGTACTTGTTTGTGTGTATGTGTTTGTTTGTGTGTTTATCCGTCTATTTATGTGTATGCGTGTGTGGGTGTATGTGTGTGTGTATGTGTGTGTGTGTGTTTGTGTGTGGGTGTGTGTTTGCTTGTAGTCTGTCGTGCGTGTGCGTGTGCGTGTGCTTGTGTGTGTGTGCGTGTGTGCGTGTGTGCGCGTGTGCGCGTGTGTGTGCGCGTGTGTTTGCGTGTGTGCGTGTGTGCGTGTGTGCGTGTGGGCGCGTGGGTGCGTGGGTGCGTGGGTGGGTGGGTGGGTGGGTGGGTGGGTGGGTGGGTGGGTGGGTGGGTGGGTGGGTGGGTGGGTGGGTGGGTGGGTGGGTGGGTGGGTGGGTGGGTGGGTGGGTGGGTGGGGTGGGTGGGTGGGGTGGTGGGTGGGTGGGTGGGTGGGTGGGTGGGTGGGTGGGTGGGTGGGTGGGTGGGTGGGTGGGTGGGGTGGGGTGGGTGCGTGCGTGCGTGCGTGGGTGGGTGGGTGGGTGGGTGGGTGGGTGGGTGGGTGGGTGGGTGTGTGGGTGTGTGTGTGTGTGTGAGTGTGTGTATGTGTGTGTGTGTGTGTTTGTGTTTGTGTTTGTGTTGTGTTTGTTTGTCTGTGTGAGTGTGTGTTTGTCTGTGTTTGTGTGTGTGTGTGTGTGCGTGTTTGTGGTGTGCTTGCGTTTGTGTTAGTGGTTGCGTATGTGTTTGTGTTTTTGGGTTTGTTTGTGTGTGTTTGTCTGTAAACGCAACGCGCTACCTGCCTCGGTCAGAAGGCGTTTGGCTGGCTTTGAGGCGCTGTGTTTTGGTTTGCCTTGAAGCGTTGTGTTTGTTTCACTGGGTGAGTCGGCGCCGAACTGCGCGAGCTGGTTTCCAAGATAGAGGGTGGGTGCATATTTGCGCGTTTAGGGGAATTTGACCGGTTCCCAGGGGGCATTTGATCGGTTTGTAGGGGGGGTTGACTGGAGTTTCTGGTAGATTTTAACTACCGGTTTTAGAGATGGTTTGACGCTTATAAAGTCGGGTTTGACTGCTTCGATTGAAGAATGTGACCGGTTTCTGGGAGAGTTGCTAGAGGGTAATTTGACTGGTTTCCAGAGGGGAAATTGACTGGTTTCTAGAAAGATTTCTCTGTACATGGATGTGACCGGAGTTGGGCCTCACGGACTCGCTTCATAGGGCTGGTCTTGGGTCGCGCGAAAAATAGCGAAGTGGCAGCTGACCGAGGCGAGTTGATCGGACTTGTCAGAGATGTTACATCATGTTAACCTACCTCCAGAAAGCATGCTTGGGTCGCGGCAACAAGGTCCTTGCAGTTACTGATCACACATTGCCCCCGCCACACACGGACCCGACCCTGCGAGGGGATTTGGCATGTATTTGGCAGCGCGCTCTTGCCAGGCTTCCTATACCTCAAACCTGCGGATTCCCACACATCATTTTTTTGTCAGACACCCTTTCCCCCTTCTGTGGTGGCCTCAACAGCAAACGAGCACGACGGGTTGCTATTGCGATATCTCGCAGTCCGAGGCTTGGAAACCCCTAGTGATCTCCAAGGCCTTGTCACAGCTGCAGACGGGGGAAATTCTGCTCTTCATGGATGCCAACATCCAGAAATAAGCCGATGCTTTGCTGAAACCCGTCCCGGGCAATATGCCACATGCGAGCACTTGAGGCTGTTGGTTTGTTTGCCCCAGCAGTTTGATGTGCTTGCAACACTTGTCCTTGGGTTTGTGTAGGGCTGTGTTGTGCAAGCGCCTGCTTTGTGAATGGGATGCTTGTTTGTTTTGTTTTCTTTGGCGTCATGTTGTTCATGAGTCCTTGTTGCGCTGTGCTGTTTTCTGCCTTGCTTGCTTGGCCGCGCTGTGCTTTGCTTTGCTGTGCGTTGGATTGTTTTGCTTGCTTGCTTGCTTGCTTGCTTGCTTGCTTGCTTGCTTGCTTGCTTGCTTGCTTGCTTGCTTGCTTGCTTGCTTGCTTGCTTGCTTGCTTGCTTGCTTGCTTGCTTGCTTGCTTGCTTGCTTGCTTGCGTCTTGGCCGGCCTTGCCTGGCTGTGTGTTGTGTTGCTCATTCCTTGGATTGAGTTTGCAGACGCGCAATTTGCTCTTGATTTGTGGCCAGTGCTTGGCTTTGCCATTCTTCGGTTGCTTTGCTGTTGACAATTCTGCTAGCTGGCCTTGCAAATTGCGATATGCCTGCAGCCTAGGGTCTGGGCGATTGGCTTTTCAGAGTCTGGATGGGCTGTTCGGAAGGCTCGGAGGCTGGGAGCAAGGCTGCAGGAGGGGCTATGACGGCATGCATGCGCTGGTTACTGGAGTGCTTGCAGCTTGAGATATCAGGCGCACATCGCGTATGTGGCGCGTGTATTCCACGGCACAGGCTGGCTCCATTGCCAGGTTTGGGCATAGATAGACTCAGAAATAAAACAGTATTGCGCTTTCCGAGTGGAAGGCTTGCGAGGGCGGGAAGTGGGGACACCTTCGCTGTTTTGACATTAGGTTGCATCATTGAAATTTAGGTGCACGGGCTTGCTGATTCGGCGTTGAGGCGTTGATCCGACTGAACTTGCCATTGGACATGTGCCACATACGCACGTTGACCAGCGTCACAGCTCTGGCATAGCTTTAGCGTGGCAAGTCGACAAATTTGGGGCTGGCGGGCTGGCAGCCCGAGATTCTTTGGGGCACCTAGGGGCTAAAAGGATACTAGCAGTTCTATCCCGTGAGCTTGACGTATGTTCCTCGACCCCAATCTGATTTAGAATCCTGAAGTACGGCCGGAACTGAGGATTACAAGGACGGCCTCAGCGACTTGCCAAAGATTTGCAGCAAGCCACTCAGCTGGATGATGCCTGCACATCTTGTTTGGGTCACTTTTGTGTTGCGGTGTGAAGCATGACATTGCCCTTCCAAAAGCCGGGAAGATGGCCAATCCTTGGCTGAATTCTGGACTCCCTCTACGAACAGCTGTCCTCCCCAAATGGGTTTCGCATGCAGCTGCGGATCATTTGGCCTCAGGCTGCTGGAGCTTACGGACTTCTTCGTGCCACTGGAGGACCCCATGTGGAAGCGAATCCAAAACCACTGCGCCTTGGACCAGGTTTCGAACACGGCTGCGTATTTCTTGTTGGAACTTGTGTCCCTGCCAGTGCCTTTCATGCCTTGAACTTGGCATATGAAAAGTCGTATGTTTTTTTTAGTTTCCTCGTGAATCCTGTTTGACGTTTTGAGGCCCTGTATTCCTCGCTGGATTCAGGTACGCCTAGATGGCCATTTATCGGGCTCCAAATTCACAAAATTTATACCGCGTACGCGCCATGTGCGGAATGGAGATAGCCATGTTAGATGGGCTACCTTTTGCAGGGACCAGTAGCTTGTTTGTTTGAGATAAACCTTATGCTGTTTGAGGCAAAGCGCTGACCTTGGAGCTGATGGACGCCAAAGGTTATGACATCGCTTATGCGCCCTGCATTTGCGTGAACCGCATCCTTATGCGGAAGACTCCTATGGTGGAAGAGCTGATGCGGGACTGGCTGCGCTTTGTATCAAACTTTGCGCACGTTTTGCAGGTTGTTCTTGTCCTGACTGCGTTCCCGACAATTTGGCTTTCGTTTGGCAGATGTGCACCAGGACTGAGGTGGCTGGGGGGCAAAATCAGGGCCCTTGAAATGAGAACTGTTGGTTGCTGCTTTGTTTGGTTGTCTCTGGTGGTTTCCTTCCAAGTCCCGGCAAACAAGGGGGTACAGTCTAATTCATTATGGCACATTGGGCTTGGGCCGGCCGCTGCTAGCACGTTCCCAAGCAGGGGATACTGACAAGGTGTTGGGGCACCACCCCACATAGGTCTGTCTCTCCAAAAGGTTTTGAAAGGGAGTCCCTGTTAGGGAAGCCAGGCGACCAAGCAGCCAAGTTCCAGGAAACCGCCAACCAGCCCACCCAAAAGAGATGCCCTGCTCATATCCTAGCGCCTTACAGTGGATGGGCGAAATCCTGCACCACCTAAGAAGCCCTGGGAATGATGATTCCCCTGTAAATACCAACAAACAATGGTTCCCCATGGTTTCACAGTGGTGCGAAATGGATTTTGTCCATCCACAGTATGAGCGCCTTGAGGCATTGGTGCGGGAAGGCGGAAGTCATCGGCCCGCTGCCCAACCCAACGCCCCACCCCCTGGCGCTCTTCCACACGCCGGAGCAGGCGCGCCAGAGAGTCTAGAAGACGACTTGGGGTGATGGGTTGGCTTTGGCTTGACTGCTAGTGGGTTGGATCTTTGGACTTTAACTTTTTTGGAAATGAAGAGGTTTTCCACTATACCCAGAAGAAAGTCAAACTCTTTGCAGAGGGTTCAACAGCAACAAAGTTGGGGAGTTGAATTCGTAGCGGAACTCGTGGATGGGAACGATTTTCGGCAGGCTGTTTGCATGCGGAACTTGTTCAACCATTCGCATTGCAGATGCAATTGCAGGCATGTCCCTTTTTGCTCCTTGAGCTTGTGGTCAGCCAACTGCGAGCAGAACTCGGTGCAAATATGACAGTGCTCAACCTTGCTTTGTTAAGCACGGATTTCTGCTGCAAAGCTTGCAGCTCCAGAACAGAAGTTGGGTTTGCGAGACACGCGGAAATGTCACGGATGCTTCATGGAAGCAAAGTGTTTAACCCAAGAAGGGACTTATTGAGGGCTTGATAAGAGCTAATTTGACCTCCCCAGGCCCTGTGATATTTAGGGGGCCTGGGTGATTTCTATTGGATTGCTTACAAATCCGTAGGTGCATGCGGTCGATTGCGTGGCTCTGCTTCCTTCATTCTCCCTCCCTCCCCCCGGCAGGCCCCCTAATTAGCTGAATGGGGAATTCAATTGATTCCATTTCCCCTAACAGGTCGGGGAACCGGTAATCTGGCGTGAGGCCATCCTGGCCATTCTGGTACGAAAGCTGGTGCTGGCAGGGCAGCTGCCAAGAGGCTGGCCCTTCTACTCCTACAAGCCAGAGACCTGGCGATAGGGGGCTCTTGCCCCCTTGGCATGTGACAGGGCTTGTCACATGCACCGCTGCCATTTGAGAGGAAGTTCAGTCATCGTCATTGCAGCTGCCCCCAGACTAGGTCAAGGAATATCACCAATGGAGCCTCTCCATTGGCCAACTTCTCGCCGCCCGTTGGATCGGAGGAGAGTCGGAAGCTGCGGTTGGCAGAGCTGGAGCAGTGGCCCATGGGCTTCCTCATGCGCTGCCGGCGCCGGGCTGCGGCCGTGGTCTTCTTCCTCCAGCGCCGGCCCAAGGAATCAACGGGTAAACAAACGAGCTCACCCAAGAAATGTCCTGATGATATATTCGAGTTGCCCCGATTTTTTCTCTCAAGGCAAATCAGAGGAATTTGAAAGGGAATCAGTCCCGGTCTGAAAGGCAACCCATGAACTATTTGATTTCAGTACGCTCCTGAAGGTCATTTCTGATACAATGGAGACCTGGGGTACGGCATGGAGGTTATATCTCGCACTCCGTTTGGTGCCTGTGTTTTTGCGTGAAGCGCCATTATGGTGACAAACGCGCTATCTATGTGTGTGTGTGTGTGGCATGGCAAACGCAAAGATTGAGGGGCGGGGAGTTGGCTGTAGCAAGTATTGTTTGATAAGGAATATTTTGCACGCCATTTGAGAGTCGTTCTATATGTCCCTTGCGTTATCTTTGGGAGTTTCCATTTACCTTGGTCCTTGTTTTCCGTTTTGCGCAGGGTTCGAAAATTATAGCCAAAAGACAGCAGGCGCTTAGATCCTCCATGCTTTCATATGTAGACGGAACGTGTTTTGTTTCTGCACCTCTCGTTGAAACTGGTCAGGAGAATCCTCATTTTTTTGAGCTTGACACGCTTGGGGGCAAACTCATTTGTTTAGAGCAACATTATGCGACAGTCACACAGACTCGTTGGTCCAAAAGAAGCCTTCTTTTTATCGAGGCATTATGCTCAAAAGGGCTCTTTATTGGGCCTTGTGACCACGGCCTTGAGCGAACACTTGGCGCTTGTTTTCCGTCAAAGAGGCTTGGTGTCATCCCACTTGTTTCTTTTTCTGACCAGAATGCCTTGGATTGTCCGCCTTGTAAAGTAGCAGTCGTTTGGGGCAGCAACACTTGGCAGTTTTTGTTGAAGTAAGAGGATGCACGAAACTGCAGTGTTGCAACTGTGACACGCAAATAGTTTCAAGAATTTCTGTGCAACAATTGCGCCGTTTCAGCCACAATTGCGTTCTTCACTCCAAGAATAGTTCTTGGAGAGCCATCCTGACGTGTTCTGACGCAGAGAAGTGCGCATGTGTCCTGGCAGCTGAGGCACGCTGTGATGGCTTTTGTGTATCCATCCAGTCATTCCTTCTGGAAGCTGTTTCCCAGAGCAGATGCGAGGTACCTTCTGAGGTTCGCGCTCCGAGGCTTCCTTATGTGTTTGATGCCGTTGCCAAGGCCTTGATGGGAGGGAGGGGTGCAGACACCGTGTCACCAAACCAACCTGGGTTTGCGGCACACTGTCTCATACAGAATGGGCAGTTGCCAGAAAAGTAAGTTCAGAGTCGTTCCCCTTCAGCCAAACAACTTGGCAAGAGCACCATGCCACCAGCAAGCCAAAATCAAAGACCCAGGCCTCAAGCTGATCAAACCTCGAGACGTGACCGGTTGACACCCATTGCTCCTGTCCGCAGGGCGAATTCGAGCCCGCGGCCGGTGAGGGCCGCGGCTACAGATGTCACATGTGGCGAGGTGGAAAAAGCGAGGTCCGCGCCTGCAGTTAAGAAGAGGACTAGTTTTGACACAGGCATTGCACCTCATCTCTGGTGCATTTCGCTCGGATGTTAGGACTCTAACTTTTTGCCAACTAATGGGTTTTCCATTAAACCACTAAAAGTTAAACTTTTAGAGCAGGGGAGCAGAAAGCAACCGAGTCATCTTTGTTCCGTAAACAACTGGTACTTAAACAAGTTCTTGTGTACTTCACCCACTCACTGACAGTCAGGTGCCTTCTTTCGCCCTCGCCTAGATTTCCAGTTTGCCCCTTTGTAGCTGGCAGGAGGGGCCCATTTGGAGAGGGAAGTAGGGAGGCGCTGGCTGGGTGACACAATTTTCCGTCTTGAAAGGATAAATCGATTGGAAAGCAGTTAAACATGTTGAACCTTCTGCATTTTCCCGAAAGCATCTCGAAGGGTTTGTCCGGAAAAATTGCCAGCCAAGTCGCAGGAGCAAAACCGCAGGAAGCCGCTTGCACGAGCAAACTCATATTAGCACAGCAAACTCGCACGCGCACATTCGCCAGCACACTTGCACGAGCAAACTTGCACGAGCATATAAGCGTGCACACCACCAGAGAGGCACTTGCGAGCACGCTGGCGCGAGCACACTTGCGCGAACAACCTCGCACGAGCACTCTTGCGCGAGCACACTTACGAGAACAAACTCGCATGAGCGCGCTTGCGCGAGCCAACTGGCGCGAGCACAGTTGCGCGAGAAAACCCGCGTGAGCACACGTGTGCGAGCAAACTCGCACGAGCACACTTGCACGAGCAAACTCGCACGGGAGATGGAAATTATTCTGTTGGAGCAGACAATTTCCAGCCGAGAATGTGGGCAGATAAACTTGCGCAGAGACCACTAGCGCAGAGACATTGCTTCCCTCCATGTATGCGTAGCGCCTTTCGGGCAACCCTCTGCTGATTTTGTTGGTGCGCATGTTGCGCTCCTTTGCCACAAACCATTGCAGCACATCTAAAAGAAGCTCGCCAAAGACCACCTGGCACCGGCCAGCTTCCATCAGAGGGTTTCCAGCTGTGTCCGGCTTGCCTTCACAGGAGCGTTTGCGGTGGTGTTTGGGTGCTCAATACCTCACGGGGTGCAGATTGCGATTCCCCGTCGTGCCCCAAAGACATGTGGCTGTGGGTCAAAAATAGGTTCCCAAAATCGAACCCTGGTAAATGGAAACATGGACCCCAAAACCGGCGGTCCAATTTCTGGTGGTTTAATTTTGACCCACATGTTTTCCAAGCCCCAATGTCTCACCCAAATTCCCCGCCTTTTCCTCCAGTCCAAGGTCTGGCCACAGGAGTTCGATGCGGAGGGCTTCTTCCTCGCCGCCTTCCGCAAGCCAGATGTGGCCAGGGGCCTGGCAGCGAAACGCCAAGAAGCCATTGGATGACAGAACAGGCTGATTTTCACTATGTCCAAGCGTTTGGCGCTTGAATTGCGGCGTGGGATTTGGTTGGGCAACTTGTTGGTAGCCTGAAACTTGACACATCGTCCCTTTTCTGCTATGCTTTGCCGGTATTGGTTTTGAGTATCGGCAGAAATTTGGCCGAGTATTGATTCCAAAGGGTGCCCCCTGTCCTTTCGCATGGTGGAAAATGGTCTGCCTTTCGCTGCGGGACATGCAATGGTGTCATTTGTGCTTTTTGATTGAAGCCCTTACTGATTTGGGTTTTGTTTGATGCCCCAGGAGTTTGGGATTCGCGCACGTTGTAAGCGTTGCGTGGATGGGTCAAGGTTTTCGTCATTGGCTGGAAAGCCCGCAGATGCGTCGGAGAGCAAGCTGTGCTTTTCGCATCGTCCACGCTGAGGCTGGCAGCAGAACCGTGAAGAGGCTAAGGCAACAGTGGCTAGTGTTTTTCTTTTTCCAGGCGTTCCCTCCCCCGGCCCGCAATGAAACGAGGCGGAGCCTGAGTTGCAAGAGATGTGTGGGTTATGTTTGCTTTCCGTGTGGGTGGGATGTAGTACTTATGTGATAGCTTGTTGATTGGCGGCTCATCTTAAGAGGATTCCAGCCACAGGGTCTTCGTTCACCCACTGCCAAACAAGACTTGTAAGCTGCCAATCCATGCTTGTCATGATCACGGAAAAACGCCCAAAGCTTGCGCCAGTTCAAAGCCTTTATGTTAGTTGTACACTTTTCGTGGTTCTCGGGCACGTTGGCATCTTTTTCCAGCATCCATCGTTCAAGCCGGTCTTAGTGCCTGGTAAATTCCCAGTGCTAAGCATCGCGCCACACTGAAGGTGAACATGCAAAACAGCTTAACAGGTTTAGCCGGGTCCAAAAACGAAGCCTTCCTGTGGAGCAATTCCATGTGCTGAAAGCCATGGCCAGCGCACTTGATGACATACAAGATACAAGGGTCTATATGATATTCCGAAACTCTCTGAGCCATGATGGTTCACCCATTTAACAATAAGTCCTTTTAGACTTTTTGTTTTTTCTTCTTCTTTTTTCCTTGAATCTTTACACCCCAGCCCTTGGTTCCACCCCTTTTGAGGATAGCACCACCGAAGGCTACACCGAAGCTCACTGGCCCGGCCAGGAAGTCGGAGTCGGAGCCAGCCAGCTTCGAGGCGCAGCGAAAGCTCTTGGGCCATCGCTTGTGCACTCGGATTCACCGATTTCTGAGAAAGGCGTAAGGTCAAGTCTCCGGATTCAAGAAGCCGCATCCCGGATGGTTCATGAAGATTTCGAGTGAGCCCATGAAGGTTTGCTTTGGCGTGCCATGTGCCTTTGTTCCCAGCATCCTCCCTGAAATCAGGGAGGATGGGAGAAGAGCAAAGCCAAAGAGTTTTGCATGAGCCAGGAGGTTGATTAATCAATAGCTGAGCATGTTGGGGCTTGGCAACATTCCGCATCCTGCCTTGCCTGAGGAGTTGTCGGCCTGGCCACGGTGGCTGCTGGACCGGTGCAAAGACCACCTGGTCAAGGAGGACCGCGTTGCAAATCAGATTTCTCACCTCGTAGGGGAAAGCATCTGCCTTGGGTTCGCCTTTTTGGTTGGCCTTTGCGTGTATTTATGACTATCTGTGCCAACCTTGTGCTTTCCCAGGTTGGGCCCACGGGCACATGAGACCCCAAAGGAGCGCCTGGGCAAAGCGGCGCTGCGTTGGTTTCGCCTCTCGCAAGGGCTTCGTCCTATCTCCACGTCCCTTTCACACGTTTTGCAGGTTTTTGGACGTCAAGACCTGTAGCTCCGACCATTTGGAGAAATGTTCAGTCCGCCACGGCCCAGAGAAGATTACGGTTGCTGGAACATGTTAACATATTGGCACCCCAGCATAAATTTATCGGGGGTGGTGCGAGCCCGAAACTCATGCAGTTGCACCGGCCTTTACCGGCCTCAAGTGGTTGGAAGATGTTATCCACGTTTGTTTGTCAACCAACCTCTGCTTCCCACGTCTGTTTGCCAACCGAACCCTGCTTCAGAATTCCAAGGAGACGACGTCCGAGCGTTTCACAGCATTTGGGTCCGGGTTGCACGAGTCTCCCCCCGGGACTCGGGCACGAATCGAGGATGGCGCCATCTTCCTGCAGCCCAGTGGCGAGCCTAAGGAACCTCTTGGGCCCAGGTCATGTTCTTCCGCAAATAGGATATAACATGGGTGTGTGTGTGTGTGCTTCTTGGGGCTATGCTGTTCACCTTGAGATTCAAAGGTAAGCACGAAAACTGCATTGAAGTTGGGGTCCACCTATTTTGAGGTGATGTAAAAGTTTCAGCACTAACCCAGGTTGCAGGGCAAAGCCAAAGATCGCTTGCCAAAAGCTAATCAACTCTGCTATTGCTAGTTTCTTCGTGCACGATACAGCATCCGATTGCCCCAAAACATGCTGGACGCACGGTTGGCTCCTCTAGAAAAAAACAAGCACAGTGCGTGTTTGTCCATGTGACTGTGGGTCAAACCATATGATACCATTGTGGAGTAGGTGCACCACCCATTTTAGAACCTTTTCGTAGGGTGGTGGTATGTTCACTGGGAATACGATTTGGATTTTGACCCATGGCCATGTGGTTACCCGTTCACCCTGTGAAATGGTTTCTAGGTCATCACCGGCTGCCTGCTGAGCTCATGGCCTTTGTCGAGGCATCGGCCGGCTGTGAGCGGAATTCGATCGGACTCAAATCAGGCAGCACTGGGGTGCCTCACCCCCTCGCCCCAGGCTAGTAGAGGGATATGGTTGGGGCTGGTTTGTGGGGTCCCTGACGCAGACATGGATGGATTTCATTCCCTCCTCAATCGGCCAAAAAGGCGTAAAAAGGCGTTGTTACTTCTAAACATGAGAGAGAGGGAGAGGTGGCTCTGAAGATTGTGACTTGGGTGCTGACAAGAGGTGCAGTTTCAAATTTGAGGTGATTTCATTGAATGGTTTGGGTGGTTTTCCCAAGGCCACTCCAAATCAACCGAAGTCAGCGCTAGACCAATGTCTGAACCAACCAACCATCAACCCTACACAAACCTAACCAAACCCACCCTACACCTACACAACCCTTGACAAGCCCACATTTCTGACATGAAGCAACTCTAAACCAGCTCCAAGCCAGCCTGAATCCACCCAGCGATCCGCTCCCAGCCGAACATCTCGGAACAGGCAATGTTTGAATTTCGTGCATTGGTGCCCTGGACTCTGTGATGAATGGTGGTGGAGAACTGCATAGGGCTCGACGCTCAAAACCCGATGCATTTGAATGCCACGCATCCCGGCTGGGAGCTCCAGTAGATTGTCCCAAACAGTAAGCTTGAGTCGTCTGTTCACATCCATGTTTGGCCCATTCTAGCTGTGCGTTGTTTGCCCCCAGTCCACTATGTCCCCAAGCTGCGTCATGCCACCGATTTGTCCGTCCCCTTCGGTGCTCAAGTTGAGCAGTTGTGGCCGCACAACGAGTGCTGGAAACCCATGCCCACATGGTTGCACGCATTTGCAGCAAAGCTTAGGGAGCAACTCTGTATGTAAAATGTTGTGGGAAGCGAACTGGTTTATCGCTACAGGTTTATGTACATGTGGTTTTACACATAAATAAGTTTCGACATCAGGAAGCGGATCAGGCAACGGCCAAAGGACCCAATGAGGCGTAGATCTCTTTTAGTCCCACGGCCAGTATTGCAGCCTCAGATGGTGGGCAATGGCTCAACTCAGCAGGGAGCAAACCCTTTTGGTCATTACGATGCTGATCTTGTCTTGCTGGAGCACGTCAGAAGTTACGGGCTTTCATGATGAGATGGTGAAGGCCAAGGAACGTGGGGAATGGATGAGCTGGGCGCAGACAGTCACCAAATGCGGGCTGGGAGGCTTCTTTGCTGGGGCTCTGCTTGAGAGCACCCTTGGTCTTGCTACCGTGTTTGCATCTCTTGGATGGCTTACAGGCGGCATGGCCATTTCCGAGTTCGGAGTCTTTACAGCGCTCGGAAAGGCCACAGGCCTTTTCGACTATTTTTACACAGAGGAGTCTGAACCCTTGCTTGCGAGGGAGATCTCCTGGGCCAATGCAGCTTCAGCCTTCCTGCTCTTAAACGTGTTCTGCTGCATTGCGGGACCTTTAATCCCAAATCAACATGTTCGATGTCAATATGCCATCCATGGTTTAGGGATTGTGCCATTGCTGTTGGTCACCCTCGGTGCTCTGTATGTGAGCCCGCCACTTCCGGTGATTTGGTCACTTCTGGCAGTTGTGTTGTGCCATGTTTTGCTGGCGCTCGGGGCTTCAAACCATCACCTCGTGCTCATTGCCGCAAACCTGCTGCTCCGCTGCTTGCCTGGCATTGCAGGCTGCGTGGTGGCGCAGCAGGCTGCAAGGATGAACCCAATATTCAAAACGTTTGTTGGTCTGGTTGTGGTCGTCATCACCATGCCGGCTATTTTGCCTTGCAAGAGCTCCGACAGAGGGGACAGCACACTTCTGAAGTGCGCTGGCAACGCAGCATACTCCGCAATCCTTCTTGCATGCATACTTTTGGCTTGTGCTTTTGGCGTTTGGATCCTGTATTACCTTGGCAAGTCCGCTTTGGAGCTTGCTGGGCTCTGCGTCAAGTGGACGGGACTCGTTATGTCTGCGCTGTTTGTCTACGCGCTGCTCAATGACCTGGGCCACAAGTCACAAGAGACAGTCCTGCAAGAGATGCGAGAGTCCCCCTTGTCGATCCTGGATCTCGTGCCGCTTCTGACGCGCGCCAAAGCTGCGGAGGTCAGAAACGACCTCGTCCAGCAGCCTTGAACCAAACACACCATCATTTGCAGCGTGCAGTGAAGAATGACAGCGAAGGGCGCTTGTGGGCGTTCAGGATGGTAGGCCGAGGCGCATGAGGGCACTGTTTTTTTTTGGCTGCGTGTGGCGTGGCGCAGAGATTGGTCCAACGGTCAAGCCCGTACCCATGGTGGAGAATCCAGGGTTTGTTGTGGTTGATGACAGAGGTCCTTCTCTATTATATGGGTTTTCAGCTCGTCCGGTTCCTTCGGGCGGAGTGTAGTTTACACTGCATTACTGGGTGCAGGTGTTTTTGATGTTGAATCGGTCGAATGGTGCCTTGATTGCTTTCTGCCTCGTGGGTGTGTCGTCTCATGCAGCAAGTGTTTGGCCCAAAGCCCGCAGCTTCAAACGGCTCTCTTTTGTTCGCGTGGTCAGCACAAGCATTGTTGTTGTCAGACACGTTGCAAGTGAGGCTAGCTGATGGATCAGCTTTGGCCGGACAAACATATGAGCCAAGTAGAAGGTGACTTGATTTTCTGTAGCCCTGCTGCTCGGATATCACAGTAATTGCTGTGAAAGTGGAGGGCGGGACTCCGCACCCCTCATGTAGTGTGTTCTTGGATGTTATCGGCACTCTTGGCTATTGGGCCACCTTCTTAGCCTTCAATTGCAAGGATGAGTGAACGATTGCTCTATATATTGCTCTTCCTTTGGCAGGCTCCTTTGCCAATATGGCGAGATGGACTTCTTACCGACGAGGCCTGGTGCCTTTGTATTGGGTGCACCCTGGGGCTTATGGGCGATGCTGAGAAGGCAGGACTGGAAGCCCTTGCGCAGATTGGACGCACTGTGGAAGGATTTGGCGAAGGCAACGGTATTACTTAATGTTTGAAAGAACTGAACGTAACAACCCATACGCTGCAGAGCTGCAGGGCTTCGATCCTGCACAGCACGTCCTTTGATTTTCCGCGCCCGCCCTCTCCACCATATCAAGGGCCAATGTGGCCTGATTGGAAGCCATATTAAACATGTGGTGTCCTTCATGTTGAGATGATGTAACCAGCGCCTTAGGCCAAGCTGATGGCTGGCCGCGGGCGGGGGGCTCAGGGCGCAAGCCTACGGCCCATTGAGTTGCGTTGGGGGTGGATGGATTTTGCTCCAATCCAAGGGGATGGATGGCTACAGTGTTTGCCTTTTGACCTGCAGCGGCACAGAAAGGTTCATTTTCCGCCATGAAAATCTGAGCTCTCCGTGCTAGGCCAACAGACTCCAAGGAGGAATGGCCCGCGACCCAGCAGGTCCTCGCCCGCTGGAGATGTGGACTGGGATTCACAGAATCCACGAGTCCAATGCCTCGTGATTTTTAGTTTGCGGAAAGCGGAAATCTGGGCATATAACGCTGATTCATGAAGGGATGGCCGTGCTTCACAGGCAGACGGCTCCCCCGTCGCCGCTGGTGCAGTTTTGGCAGTCCCCACTTGGCTCACGTGTGGAACACACGTTGGCAACGGATTTATTTCAACGCACCAGGCCAGGTTTCCCATGAGGGGCTGGGTGTCACAGAGTCGTTTGTGGTTCACAGGTTTTGGTCGGGTCCTGGTCTGGATGTCCTGCCTTATTCACCTTGAAGCAGCATGCCTTACCCGCCTTGGTGCGGGCTAAGGTTGCGGTCACAGCGTCTTAATGGCAAATGACTTTCTTTCTTGGAGACGGGTGCCATGAAAGGTTTACATTGGGCCGCAGCAGTTTCAGCAAGCGCACCTGGGAGTGAAACAAGCTCACTCATGCTGAAGGTTCCTTTGGTCCGCTGATTTCGTACTAAACATCAAGTTTGGCGTTGATTTGAGGCAGTGTGATTTCATTTGCAAGCGGGTTCACTGCAGTTCGAGCAGCAAATCCTTCACCTCATTGCAATGTGCTGGAAATAGCCATGGACAATGATGAAGGAGCATCCTAGTACTAATGAGTTGGTGGATCGGCGGTTGCCCTTTGCCCAAGGGCATCCTCCAACATAAAATGTGAATTACCCCATCTCACGTCCATGGTAGCGATAGGATGTTTTTGCCGTGTCTCCTTGAGCAAGCCTGAAGGTTTTTCTTGTCATTTTAGCCATATGCTTTTCCGTCACAACTCCCAAGGGCCGCAAAACCACGAGTTATGGCGGAAGCTCCAACCACCGAATGCCAAGCGGCACAGGCAGGAGTTGACGTCCCGCCTGGAGGCGGGCGGGACCGCGATTTGGGCACATCAGGAGGGCGGGAGGGGCATTGGCTTCTTGCTTCCTTCCTTGTATATGTTTCTTGGAAGGGATTTCCACCTCCAAAAAACAAGATAGGACAGATTAGGACAGGATTTCACCTCCAAAAAGACAACATCAAAGACCAATGGCCAAGTGCCACACACCTATAGAGAGCCCTGCGGCATACAAAGAGAGAGAGAGAGAGAAGCCAACAGCAAACAGCGCAGGTGGTGTCATCATACTTGTGAAAGCAACCGCAAAGATGACTGCGATGCATAAAGGTTTCGAGTGTTGTTTGCATGTAAGCACGCTGATCAGCGAGGTTTGTGGAGCGAGCATAGTGTTGGTTCCCACTTGCAATGTATGGAGAACCAAAGGAGGCAGCTAGCATTTCTTGCTTGATGTAAATAGGAAACTTTCCTCCCGCGGTCCAAACCAATCTAAACAAAAACCCAGCTGCAAAGAGGAATCCCTGAAGTCCGTGTCAAATTCCTGCAATGCTCATAAAACCTAACTTGAAGCCTTGCAAGCATCTCCGTGCTGGCCCCCCCCCTCCCACCGACCCACCCACCCACCCACCCACCCACCCACATGCATGCATGCAGGCATGCAGCATGCATGCATACATACATTTGTTCAGACCCACAGACCGACAGTCAGACAGACAGACAGAGAGAGAGACGCACAGAGACAGACAACGACAATCAGAGACAGACAGATACAGACAGAGATCGAGACAGGGAGATAGAGTGAGAGAGAGAAAGTGACAGACGGAGACTGACAGACAGAGACAAAGACAGACAGACAAACAAACAAACAGGCACACATGCACAATGCATGCAAATATGTGCGCGTGTGTGCATACATGCACGCATGCACACATACACGCAGAACACAACATTGCACAACATAACATCCCAATGTCCCAATGTGTTGCATGGCATTGTATGGCAGTGCATTACATGCATACATTTCTTTACATTACATCACATTCCATTACATTACGTGGAATACAGACAGGGACGCATACAGACAGAGACACTGACACGCACAGAGACAGACAGACACGCACGTACGCACGCTTATCCGCACAGACTCGCTCACATGCGCAAGAATCCACCCCTTCAGCTGCCCTTCCATTCGCACCAAGAACATGCACACCAGAACCCCGAGGGGAGCCTGGGAAGCTGGAACGCGCAGCTGGACGCGCGGGCGGAAGCTGGCGACACTGAAGGCCAGCAGCATCGCAGGAGCAGTCGATGCAGCGGTGAAGGATGAGTCTGGCCATTCTCAAAATTAGCCACAACAAACTGATTAGACACCGTGACCTCATGAAGAAATAGAAGCGGCGGCTCTTGTACTGCTCATGTTCTGCTCTTGGGTACTTGTACCGGAGCGGGATCCTGCTTCTTCTTCCAGATTCAGAGGCGTGTGCCCTTGCCTGTAGCCCATTTAAAGGGCGGCCCATGCTCGACGTTGCCCACAATCCTGCCCCCCTGTATCTTACACGCCTTCTCCGGTTTTGGTGGTTGCGCGTGGGTAGCTTTGTCACAGCATGTTGCTATGCAGTCATGTTCGGTGTGCCAATTGAAGCGCTCTTTTCCAACACGCCGCCATAATTACACAGCGCTGGGCGCCGTAGCCAGGTGCCGAGTCAGTGTGCGGCTTAGGGCGCCCTGGGGCTTGAGTTCTTAGAGGCTCTCTCAAATGGAGCAGGCCACCAGAGGTATAGCTCAGGTTTCCTCCCGAAGCCTAGTTGGAATTGGGGCAGAAAGGAGAAACTAACAAGGACCTCAAAAGCTTTCATTGCACGTACCTTACAGGCTTGGGTTTTCCAATGGGTGCCTTTGCTGCATTGATGTTGAGATATCGAAAGCATGGGCAGCCAACGTGGGTAGTCTTCAACTCATGACCCCCTTCCATCGGGGTCCCGCCAATGAAACAAATTGTCGGTTTGGTGGTCCCAGAACATGTTGACATATCCAGCAAGCACATGGCCAGTACTTATTTCAACGGCCTGTTTGTGAGGAGGAGTCAGGTCATTGTGATGTTGATACAACCTTTTTGCCTTTTTCCCTGGAATCAACCAGCGTACCACTTCTCAGCTGAAGGGTTGAAATGGAAGTGGAATCCCAGTCCGGCCGAGGTGATGGCGGACATCCGGCAGCAGCGTGGAACTGCCTAGCGGGCTGGGCCGAGGGCTGCGTCCCCCTTCATTTTCAGAATCCTGTTTGGGTGCGAAAAAGGCAATGCGTTTTACTACTGATCAAAACGGAAGCACAAAGGGATGCTCGTTTGATTGTGGGTCCAGACCCGCAGATTAACACCCTGCTTTGAATAACCCCTGATAAACTTTGTAAGAAAGATCCAAACAACCACACTGTTTAGGGCGCTGTGGGCATTGAGTTCCTCCCTTGGGGGGGGGGGTAATTTGTACTTACATTATTCACAAATACGTATAATGTAAATATGCACAAACAATCAAATATCATATAGATATACGTTGTAGATCTTTACACTACACTCAGACATACATATGCATATACACACTTGGGCAAGCATGTGCCTGGTCAAATACTTTGTGATACTCAGTTCCTTCTAGCTGGACGCCCGACCTTTTCCTTGTAGCTACTAGGCTGCAAGCGTGGACGGCATAGCCCCGTTCCAGCTGGGGTCAAAAGAGCTGTTCCTTGTCTGAGGGCTTCAGCTTGAGGTTTGCTGCCCGACCTGATCAGCTACACCACTCTGATCAAGGCGACCTTTGCGTCAGCTGTGGTTGTCGTTAAAATCAGCTTCCTTCTGGCTGGGTGATGCTAAACGCGGAAGTTGTGCGAGCTTTGCTACATAGACCAAGCGGGCCGGGTTTTGTGGGTTTCTGATCTCATGACAGTGGTGAAGCAAACCTGGAGGAATGGTGCCATCCACTTTGACGCAACTGTAAGGGTTCAACGCTGCTTGAATCGATGGTTAGCCCAACCTCATAGTTGCTCCATCCAGCGTGGCGCGCCTAGGCAGCTGCCACTCAGTTTGTCATGGGCCCCTCTGCCACCCCACGGAATGGATCAGTCCTGGAGGCTCTACATCTTAGGCCTTGCCAAGCCCAATGACAAAGTTGCAGATTTGTGTGGGCATGTCTTTTTTGAGGGTACCCTGTTGGCCCTGTTGGGGGCTGATTGAAACGGAAATCAAAGGAACCCCGTGCCATAACTTCCCCATCCCCCCCCATTCTTCCTGCCGGCAGTAGGTGCTCAGTCACTCGCTCAAATGCCAATACTTGCTGGTGCTCAGGGAGGGAATGATTCCCGAATAAAGGAAACCACCGGTTGGATGATTTATCTTGGGGTCCTGAGCCATTTCTCATTCCCTGCCTATGACTCGCGCCGATCGCAAGAAACGGGGAGCTGAAAAATGGGCTGCCGGGAAGCCAGGCCCACGGCCGCACGGCGCAGGCGGCCGGCGCGCTGCGGGCCGCGAGCTCTGCGGAGCAGGCGGGTTGGCGGAGTGGCGCCCAGAAACCGGAGGCGTGCCCAGAAAACCGGAGCAGCGGCCGTTTTGGGGGTGAAACCTTGCAGGGTCGTCTCGCATGTTGTCTATATTCTTGGGTATGGGGCGTGGAAAATGGTGCAGTCCTAGTGAAGGCCACCGCGGTTTAGTTTGATTGATGTCCGCTTCGAACCCCCTGATAATAAGCAAAAAGCAAGGCTTGATGCATATTTCAGAATTCATGGATACTGCGAAAATAAATTAGAGCCGGCCGTTGCTTTATGGGTGGGGTGCCGCTGAGAATTCCAGAAGAGTGCAGCGGGTGGACTTTATGCGCCGCATGTCGTAGCCGTGTCAGCTCCAAGCCACCAGTTCCGTAGAGCCAAAGGAGGGCCATGCAGATCTTCGTGAAGACATTGACGGGGAAGACCATCACCTTGGACGTGGAGGCCTTCGGAGAGTCACGGCGTCGCCAGTTGGCGCCTTTTATTCTTTCGCAGTTGGTCTTGTCGTTTTTGAGGAGCTTGGACCAAACAGGGGCTTCGAATATGCGGCCAACCTGGGAACCCAATACGGCATAGGATTGCCGCTCCAACTCCGCGCACTTGCTTGCGTTGCTTACGCGCAAATGCCAAGTCATTGTTGGCTGGGTGGTTTCTTGGTGCTTAGCTGAACGTGAAAGATCAATCTGTGAACCCACTAAGGATTGCGGCTTTGTTGGATGGTTTGGTGGTGGTTCGCATCAACAGTGCTCTTCCAATTCCTATGTCTTGGGCCAGTCTCTGGTTGCCAAACCTGTAGCTGCTGCATCGCCTCGATCGCCTTGAGCTCAAGGCCTCAGATACCATCGACAATGTGAAGGCCAAAATCCAGGCGTGGATGGGGTATCGGCACGCGAAGACCCCAATGGTATAATATCAACCCAGGGTTCATTCGTGGAGTCCTGGGTTACCACTATTTTGTCATATTTGTGCTTGGGCTTGGTGGTGTGGCAGATTGGCATGTATATCCTTGTGGGGGCTTCGCAGGGCATCCATGGCACTGCAGACAGCAGCCCCATCCTGGTCTTCTCTGCCAGTCAACAGTGTCTCTACTCAGCTTTCAAACATTAGGGCTTCAGTCATTCCCGGTTTGCAAACACGCGGTGGGTTGCAGCCCGCCCACAATCTACGGCAACAGGGGGAATCTACCGCTCCATCGCAGCATGGCCTCGTTTGAGCCGCAATCAAAGCCCGGCGAAAGCTAGCGACAGTCCCAAGCTGGGATGGGCGCGGCCGGCCTTTTGATTCTTTACATGGAGGTTTCGCACAACAGTGGCCCCCGAAGGCTGGTTTCCCCACAGCTCCCTTTAGATACGGCGCACCCGTACCCCCAATAAACACCATTGGGCTTCCATTCTGACTCTGCTGAGGACAAGGAGGGCATCCCTCCAGACCAGCAGCGCCTCATCTTCGCGGGGAAGCAGCTGGAAGATGGCCGGACCCTGTCGGACTACAACATCCAGAAGGAGCCATCGCGGCATGTGCTTTTTCTTTCCAGAGAATATTGTTCTTACATGGGGGCAAGTTTCAGGGCAGACCGGCTGGACCAACCCACTGGGCACCCGCTCGCCTATGGGGCTTCCTTCAGGATTCCTTGGGGCCTGGCTTTATTGTCACAAAAGCAAAGAGCAGTTTGCGGAAAGCGGTGTGGTCGCATACCCGATTTTCTTGTTGATGAAGTCTTCTTACATTTTTTAGTCCGCCAACTTGAAGCGTTTTGGAGTCACACGTGTAACACGTGAAGCAGCACGTCGGGAGCCTAGAAACTGTTCCGTCAAGGACGTAAACGCTCCCCTCATTTGTTTGACAATCTTCGTCGTCAGTTCAGAAAGTTGACCCATGCGCGTTCAGGATGGGATAGAATCACTCTGTTAGCATCATCTCACGAAGTGCGGCAGATGACATCCCCTTATTCCTTCCCAGCGCCCCCCTCAACCAGCAATTATTTTCGTGAGCGAAGGGTCATTGCTGTCTTCTGGGAAGGTGCAGGAGTTGACAGACTTCTGCACAAATGGCAGAAGGCGAAGTTTCGGATTTGACGCGTCAGGAGTCGACACTTCACCTGGTACTGCGCCTGAGGGGTGGTCATTGTCAGGTGCCCTGCGCCTTGGATTTCGAGGCGTTTTCAGAAACAAACCCAAAGGAAAGGCGGTTTGAAGATGTTTGAACAGCATAAATTAGCATAAATGGAGGTTTGGACAATGGCATAAGCATGTTTAAACAAGGGATTCAAATTGGGGACCCCCTCAGGAAGGGGTTGACCATCCGCCAAGAAGCATTTTTTGTGGTAGTGCGGAATTGCGCGGCAGTGCCCGTGTTTCCGGTTATGCCTTCATAACGACCTGTGGAGACGAGGCCTTCTTTATTAAGATGTTGCGGGCAGCGGGTCGCCGCTAGCTGCAAATTTCATCGTGAAATGGACCAAGCTATGGCTTAGACGTGTGACCCAGGCCTGAGAAAACTCTCGCATTCATGTTTTCAGGATAGCACGCTTGCGCCACCGCGTCATGTGAAGCTGAAACGGCATTGGTGTGCCAAGTTTGCACAGGTCTGATTGACCAATTTTAGCCGCTCTAGAACCAGGAAAAATGCCTTAGTTCGCCAAAGTGACCACCATGGAAGACACCACAATCCTTGCCGTGGCCATTTTGTCATTTGTTTGTCCCAAAGTTCCGAAAGGAACCGATTGAGTCTTTTCGGTGGCGAGGGCCCTCTCATGGGCCCGTGACCGCACGCATGCCTCAGGCGGAATCTTTGACGACCCCAAGTTGGTGGCGGACGCCGGGGCCTCGATGTGGCGGACGCCTATGGCAAGTCGGATTTCAGCTGCACCATGCCCTCCATGTGCTTAAGAATATATGTTTATTTTCCCTTGTTGGTTTTAAAGGGAATCTATCACTACTGGAAATATGTATTTTTTTCCAGGGGCCTTAACCAAATGGAAGATGCTGAGTGCAGCCTGGGCTAGAATGATCCAGAATGTTGGGAGGGCTGGGTGCGACGAACAGGGCAAACAGTCCAATCTTTCAATGTCCGCCTGGTTGTATGATGTGTTTTGACTTTGGCTTCTTGGGTCAAAGTTTGCAGCAGGTCAAAGAGGCCGTGGCTACCATCAAGAAGGCCATGGTGCAGATTGGCGAACTGTCAGCCAACTTGACACCCCTGAGTCTGAATCAGATGACGCTTTGCTTGACCAGGTGTATTGTCAAGGCATGCATGTCATACACGGTGCCCTGCTTTCTCTCTGAGCGTCAGAGAGGCATTCTCTTTCAGGCAAGCCTAGGTTTTAGTTGGGTGACCGACTGCCTAGGACCCGCTGGATTAATACCAAGGAGGACGGGGTACAAAATGGGCCACCATCCCCCAGGCCAATGTAAGCCTTCATTTGGAGTACCTGACCTTTGAGCACTGGTTGCAGAGATCCAGGTGACCTTCTCAAGGGCCCTGCAACCCTGACCTTCTAGTATGCCAGCAACGCGCAGATGGATTTTAACCTGCCCGCGGTTTCTGGACATGCCACTAAAGCAAGTGCGCCCTTCAGCCCTAGAGGAGCATGCCGGAAAGATCATTGCCTTGATGTCGGAGTATTGCACCTTTGGCTTGAACTTGTTCCGGGCATGCCAGACCAGCAGCTTTATTGGAACAACAACCATGCCTACAGAGGATATTTGCTGGGGATCCTTCTGATCTTGGTCTCGGTCAATTGCCGGCGGATGTCAGTCATTTGTGCCAACGCGAGTGGTTCAGTTGAAGCGACTCCACCGGAAATATATGTGTCCGCACTTTCACATTCCAAGTTTGTTTTCGCTTCAAATTGATGTTGACTTGGAGTGCCCCCTACTAAGTGAGACTCCAGTGTCTGCATCAGGGTCTTGAACGACATTCACCCTCCCACCCATTCACATGGATCCTGACAGGGGGTCCCTTTAAAAGGAAAATGGTCCAAACCAGGACCCCCCCGAAGGTCAGGTTCCATGTTAATTGGTGGGAGGGTACTGCGGCGGGGATACAAGGGTGATTCATATATGGAGGGAAAAGGTTTAAGCTTAAGAGCGCGGACTGGCTGAAGAGAGAAATGTCTCCGCATACCTGACGGACAAAAATCCTTATACGCATCTATGCATACCTGACAGACAAAAATACTTATACGCATCTATAAGCAGTTCCTACAGTGGTTCCTCGCAAGGACCGGTTCCAAACCTAGGCAGGAATGATTGAAGTGCTGTAGCTAGAGCTTTTGTGGTTCATGAATATACGCGAGGATAACATGGCTCTAGCCATGCCCCTTAGTTTTCTTCTTGCCGAACCAATCTTCGGTTCCCGTCACATCATTGATTTAAAGCAAGTGAGAGGAAGTCGCACAAATCGAGTTTGCGACCTCCTCCATGGTGACAGCTTCTTTCACCTGGCATGAGCTCATTGTGTTTTGCTTGTATTTGGGAGGTTTCCCAATATGACATGTAGTAATTCACCACCATTTATGTGACAATGTATGTGCAGATTGATGTGCTCCATATTCCGTTTGAGTGATGTATGACCTGACGAACATCGCTCGTTTGAGGCCTGTGCCAGCGAGTGAAGCCGGTGAGCGACCCCAAGAGTCCCTTCACCAGCGAAGCGGAGTACGTCTCGGCGCTCACCGCCCACCACGCGGTGATGCTCGCGGCCGTGAAGTGCAGCTTGAAGCGATGGCCTTCGACTGGTCAGTTTGCTCCACACGTGGCACTTTCTGTTTAGCATCAGTGAGCGTTTGGGTCTTCCGTTGAGCCCCCTGGTTGTGGTTGTTGTGGTTGTTGTGGTTGTTGTGGTTGTTGTTGCTGTGATTGTGGCTGTGGCTGTTGCTGTTACTGTTGCAGTTGTTGTGGTGCTGTTGCTGTTGCTGCTATTGTTGTGGTGCTGTTGCTGTTGCTGTTGCTGTTGCTGTTGCTGTTGTTGTGGTGCTGTTGCTTTTGCTGCTGTTGTTG